AGATAGATAGATAGATAGATAGATAGATAGATAGATAGATAGATAGATAGATGCAAAGAGGAAGCCGATTGCAAAAATAGCCATGTTTAGACCGGGCATTGCTTTCTCAAGCAGCTAGTCCTCAGTTTTAACCATTTAAAAAATGCTGGCACTACCCCATCCTGGAGCAATTCCAAATGCCCCCAGACCCTCATTTCTCTCTTGATAATGCATTTGAGTTTAATTGAGAAGATATCTGTGCATTATTTTTATTTGGCCCACCTCGTCCAGAAGCGACATCTGCTTTTAGGATTTAATGGCTCAGAAATTCACATGATGAATATTTAAAGAGTTTGTGCTTGTTTTTCCATTTTGATTTAGCTATTATGTTTCTGTGGTTTTCTGTATTTTTCTGCTGCTACCTTGCCATGAACTCACTCCATTCCTGTGGCAGGAGCCACCTTAACAGGGCAGCAGATAAATACTGAAAATACGTAAAATGAGCAGAATTTAACCAACCTTCTCAAACCCCTGCTTCCCCCCCCCCCCAAGGCAGAAATAGTTGCTGTGTTTTGAAAGGTGATGCTTGCCTCAATGGGCTACAAAAAAGGACATTTTTTTCATGTCTAAACCACCTCAAAATATATAATTTGGAAACCATTAACTTGGATCCTAACAAAAGACCCTCATGAAACCATGCAAAGATATTTGACTGCCCACCAACAACATTACACCCACCTCCTCTTAAGAGGTATTTATGCACAAACATTTTTGGAGTTATATCTTTGTTCAAAGCTGGAGCAGAATATTATTTTTAACCAAGGGATTTATGTAACCAGAAAGTCGCCAACTTCCCATTGTTTGACTGGTGTGTGTCTGTGTGTGTTCTTAAAGAGGGGGCACTGAAAGGAAGACTGACAAAAGCTGTCATTATTCACTGCCTCCCTTGATAAAAAAAAGGTTTGAAACTCTTGTGCTTTGTGTAACCCTGAAGACTGCAACCTGAAGTGGTTATGATCTCCTGATGGTTTTGTTTTTCAACAATTGGGATCTTCACAGCTTCTTGTCCGTGTTTCACAGCCTTGTTTCTAGCTGTCCTTCCCTCCATGCTGGCACCCCAGTTTTCCAGTTTTGTGCAGTTAACAAAGCAGAAAAAGACCTGTGAGCGGACTCACCTGTGCTCACCTATGCGAGCATGGGCAGCTGCAGGCCAGAAAGAACTGTAGGAAGGACACTTCCGAGGCTGCTGTTCTCTAACTGTGAACATCCAGGCCCTTGAACGGTGTCCAAAAACTAAGAAATAGGGCATCTTAGAAGGACCCTCTTTCATGTCCATGGAGGCCTCTTCCTGCCCAGACCCTCCAGCAAACAAACCTCTCTTGCAAAAAATATATATCCAGATCTGAAATCTCCTTCTTGTTGGATCTGTTGCTGGCCAAAATTGGAAGGAAGATCTCTCATCAGATCTTAAATTATCCCTATGGGATTATCAACAGGGAAAATTGGTGCTCATTTCTCCATTTCTTATTCAGTGCTTGAGGTCTTGGGGGGGGGGATCTAGAAATTTAGCAATTCATCAAGAAGGGAGTCCTCAAATAGCTTTGGTTGCCAAGATGTTTATTTGGCCAGGTAAATTAGGGTTTTGGGTTATGGGAAGGAAGGAGCTTCTTGGCTGTAGGCACCAGGCTTCTTATGGGAAATTTTCTGGGTCCAACAGAGTTGTGGTAACATTGGCGGGCAATATATTCCTTGTTAAGGTATTTGCAAGGATTTTGTGGAGTGCCATAGCAAAGAAGTCCTCAGAAAAAGGACTTTTTTTATCCCTTGCAAACATCATCAGCATGAAATTATGAAGTAGTAATTTTGAGTAGAAACTGAAGTAACAAGATGTCAGATTTTCCTTTCAGCAGATTGTCTTTCCTGTCTGGGAAATCTTGAATTCTTTGTCTCTCGACGCGTCATTCCCAAAGATCATCTTCATCCCAACCAAACAATGCAAATTTTCCACATGGAGAAAATTTAAATATATATTTCCCCCCAAGCTCCTGTACAAACAAAACCCAGGCCGGGACGCAGGTGAATGGCCCGTAAATAAATAAATAAAAACCAGGGAAGGAAAATAAATTACTACAGAATCTTGAGAAATGAAATCAATATTGGCGGGTTCTTCTTTTTTAAAGCCTTTGATTTTTCCTTCTCCCCCGCCTCCCCAAACCTCATTCAGTGCCCATTGTTCCCTTCCCTGGAAGGAGACCGATGGAGAAATCTATTTTGCCTTCTCTGCCCCTGCAAGTCTCATAATAAATGAAATTCAGAATTTAAAAAGTGGAGCGGTTCATCGGGATATAACTAACTGACGACGGTTAGTCACCGCAGCCAATTCCGAAGGCAACGATGGTTCAGGACAACCTAACATTGAAATTGGGATTAGACAGGCAAACACCCCTCCAGGCCAAGACAGGTTGAAAAAAAAATAAAGCTAAATTGGGTGACTGCCTGGATGGGAGACCACGAGGTGATCCCACAGGTATAGCTTTAAAGACGACAACGGCCAAGCGAGTCTGGACGGATGGATGGAAATCCACTCATCCAAATCCACTGTTCGTCTCTGCCTTCTCTGCTACAAAGACCCCCCAAGCACACTCAATTAAGAACCTTTTGGGCTTTTTAACACCAGCGTCCTGTTTCGGATCAGCCGAGGAATCTTCCAAGGCAAATCCAGAGGGACGATCGATCCCTCGTGGCGTTTCTAAAAAGGGTCTTTCCTTGCAGCCTGCTTGCTCCCCCCCACCCCTCCCCATCCCACCCCCGCCGTGCCCTGGGCCCCTTGTGCCTTTCCCACCCACCCACCCCCGGCTCCAGGCCCGACTGGGTTAAATCCAATTGGCTCCTGATTGCAAATCCGGCATATTTTTTAGGCTGGTGACGTGGAAAAAGGCAGGCGAGCAAAGGGTTTCGGCTGGTAGAATCGATACCAGTGCCTTTAGGGCTTGGAAGAAGCGAGGTTGGGGAAGGAGGGAGGAGGAAGGCTGGACCGGAGACCCACAGGAGGAAAAAAAAAAAAGAAGGCTGAGACTGACCCACTGGCACACGCACACACACACACAAAGAGGAGGTTAGTTCAAGCTGGACGGACTTCAAGAAATCAAAATGAAATGGACATCAGCAGCAGGAGCAGGAGCAGCAGGAGGAGGGAGGAAGAGGCAATGAATTGAGGCTTGCCAAAAGCCCCCCCCCCCCCAAGACACTGCTACTCTTCGTGGTGGGAAGATCTCCGAAGTGGGACTGTTTTGGGGGCTGGGAGAGGGGGAGAAGCTGCTTTGTGCTCCGCTCTGGCCCCCCAGGGAAGGAGTTTGGGTTGGTCTCCTTCGTCCCTTCCTCAAAGCCATCCCTGCGAGCCGCCGGTGAGGCAGGTGGAAGAGACAGAGGCTACGGCTTGCTTTGGTGCCGGAGGGTCGAAATAATCTTTCTTCTTCTCTTTTTCTTTCTTTCTTTCTTTCTTTCTCCCTCTCTCTCTCATCCAACAGTCCTACGTGCCTCTCAAAGGATAACATGCAACAATAGGTAAGCTGCCTTTCTTTTTTTTTCTTTCTTTCTTTTTTTGGGGTGGGTGGGGAATTTGTGGTCTGTGAGCCAGGGGGAAACTGTTTGGACTTTGGCAGGGAAAAGAGCAACCTTGCTCGCCTCTCTCTTTAAGGTTTCCACGCCTAACCTGGGGAGGGGATATTTCGCTGGCAAGGGAGGGGAGGGGGAGCCCGAGGGGGGTTGAGGGGCAGGGTCAAGGAGTCTTTGGAGCCCACTGGATTTGGGGAAGGAGGGGTGTGTGTGATATTTTAGAGGTTTCCCTGTTTGACGAGGGCATTTGCACCAAGGGAAGTTTGGCACAAATGCACCTTTAATTTGGCTGGGTGAAATTTCAATGCATGAAAGGAGGAGGAGGAGGAGGAGGAGGAGGAGGAGGAGGAGGAG